TTCTTATATTTCTCTGAGAATATTATTAAGCTAGAGAGATATCATAATGCATTTTCAGTATTTTAAATAGGCAATTTAATCTACAGCAATCATGACAAAATGAAAGTGAGGTGGGACTAGGTCATAAGTTTAATTTCTTGCCTTTTCCAGGGGTGGGGGCACAGGGTTAATAACTGTTCCTGGGGAAATTGTTTCATTATAGACATTGTAAAGATGAGTATGTTTGTCTTAGAACAATCTTTGTTGACAAAGCTGCAATTATTAACTGTTGGAAAATTAAAAAGGGTTGGTTTTAAAAATACTGTTGGCATTTTCTATGAGACAGATAAAATTATCCTGAATCCCAGCTAAAACTAGTTTGGTAAAAACCTGTGTACATTACATGAGGTTTGGAAAAGGTTCATAAAAACAAATGCAGTCCACTTCAATTCACATATATAAATACACACATATGTACATATGCACACAACACTTACACCGCTATGGGTGGTGAAGGTATTTACTCCAGAACTTTGGCCATTAGGCAATGTTTGCTTGTGTTGAAACATGTAGAGGTCAAGGGTTGCCCCATCTTGCCTCACAAAGTCTTAACTTGATCTTTATCAAGGTAATTAGCTGCACTATCAGCTGTAGCAGGGAGCTGATGGAGACGACAAGTGGACACGTGGATTTGAGGAAGAAAATTTTGGAATTACAAAGAAGTTCAAAGGGTCATCAGCAATTTGATAAAGAGGATTAATACAGCAGATGAGCAAAGTCAAAGAACATTGTTGAGCCCAATCCAATGGAACAATAGATTCTTCCCGACAGTATTTTTTAAATATTTTTTTTAGTTTTCAATTTGAACTCAGCTAGGCCGCTCAACTGATATTTTCACATTATGACTTTTCTTCCTGTCCCTAGTTGTTCTTTATGTTGTATCATACTAATTGTAACAGTGCATTGTACCAACAATAACGTTATTTCATGATTCTTCTGACTCTAAGGATGCTCTGCATTGGATAGTTGACATAGTTTCTACTGCTACCTCCAGCCGTTGAAGCAGCCTGCCTCTTTTTACCAGTTGCAGAGGGGCACAAGTGGGGAGTGTACTGTTGTGCTTATGTGCTGCTTGTGGGCTTCCCACAGACATCTGGCTGTGCACTGTGAGAACAGAATGGTGGGTTGTTGTTGTTTAATGGCAAGCAAACTCCACCCTTTAGCTAAGAAGGCTCTCAGAGAGGCATGCAAAAACGCAGTACATTGAAGGGTAGACAGAAAGCATAGCAGCAACTACTGGTAGATCTCTGTGTGATTATGAGTAGGTTTTTGACTCCCAATTATTTAAACAATAGTAACAGCTGTCTCAGATGTCCTTTTGGGGCCTACTAAAGAACCTCCTCTTCCAAGAAGATCTTTCCTAGTCTGCATCTGGAATGGAATTGTTTTTTTCAGATGTTTTTTCACTTGTTTGCCACCCTGAGCTCATTTGGAAGGAAGGGAAGGATATACATGTAATAAATAAAACATATTATGAGGCAGAGGCAGCCTATAGAATCCAGACAATGGTGCACTGTATCACACTCACAGCCAGAGATTTATTCATTTATTGCAGTCATATTCCACCTTCTTGTTCAAGGAGGCATACCTGAACCCTTCCTCATTTAATCACCACAAAAACCCTGTGAAGTAGGCTAGACTGAGATGCAGTAATTGGCCCATGGTTAACTAGTGAGCTTTATGGCTGAGGGGGGATTAGAACCCTGGCCTCCCAGATCCTAGTCCAACATACTAACCACTACACCACACGGGCTCTGAAGAAAGAAGAGCCTGCAGAGCCTATATTATCGTATGCATCAACCAGCAAGCTCCATGCTCGGGCAGAAGGTTTAACAACCACCACCCATGGCCTCTGTTTCACCAGAAATGGGTTCTGCGTGGCTGGTGTATCATATAAATGGGACTTACCATGTGAACAGACACTTTTCCATGGAATGTGTCTGTATCAGCACTGCAACTTTCTAGGACCAATATTGCTGGCATGGAACTATCCCACAACTTTGACCAATCTATGTTGTCATCACCTTACACATGTTATAGCAGCCTTATGATGAGCCAATAACACACCACAGTAATTTTAACTGTCATCCATTTCTGTAATGGGGGATTGCTGCATCTTCCAAAGAAGACAGAGTTTGTGAGAAAGAGGTGAACTTACCATCTGGACTTTAGATGTGGCAGTCCATGTTGTACCTGAGGATGGAGTAAACTCCCTAGATGGTATGGAAAATGAGTTTTATGACACTATGGGCCACAACTAAGGTACCAGAATAGTAACCACAAATGCATTCAGCTATGACTTGAAGCCAATAAAATACATTGCTTATGACAGGCAGCCCAACAGTCTCACGACCAATTAGGGAGCTGCAGATTCTTGAGCACATTTAACATCTCTGTACTTCATTTTTGTCATCAGAGATATATTTCCTATATAGTCAGGACAATTCTTCAGGGGGTTGTAGTATGTCAGTAATAGAGGTCATTGACTGACATTGTTGGTAGAGATTAGAATAGGAATGAGAAGCAGTCTGCCTGTCACCCTATCCACTACCAGTGATATTTATGCAGTTGAGCCCGTCTTACAACTTTCCAAGGACAGGTAGGAGTTGGCTCAGGGGTGCCAATTTGTTGACAAAGCAGGAGACAGCAATTTACCTGGAAGAAGGCACCTTGTGTTTCTGCATCCATGTGCCCCAAAAGGATCTAATTACAAAGCTGGAAAACTATTGCAACATTTCTTTGCAAATATCCATTTGTATTTTAAGTCCCATAAAGAGCTGCTTGCAAACCCTTTTTTGCAATATTTATTTGCAATAAAAATATTGCTAAAATTGTTACAGAATGTAACATTGAAGATGGCTGTTTTCAGTTTAAAGGCTCATTTCACTGCCTGCCTAATGGTGCAGTTTCAATTACAGAATGGCAATTAAGCTAGTGTATATTTCTGTTGGACAAGCATGCTGCAAGTTGATTGTGCAGTGTAGCCTGAGAACTACATGTATCCAAACTGGTAGTTATAGGGCCACACCAAATATCTCATGCAGACATTTTGGCAGAAAAGTGTCAGACCAGGAAGCTGCCTTGCACTGAATCAAACCATCCAGCTCAGTGTCATCTACCCTGACTAGCAATGGCTCTCTATGGTTTCAGACAGTGTACATTCCTAGCACTACCTGGAGAAATTGAACCTGGGATCTTCTACATGCAAGACAGATGCTCTACCAATGGGTAGACTGAATTCTTGTTTGTTAGCTATTTCAGTGTCCTTTTCATCCTGTTCTCTGTTTGGTCAACACACTCTGACAACTGAGCCCAACCACATTTCAAGGAACACACACTTAGCCTTTTCTCAACCACAACACTAACTAGCCAGTCCGGTTTAGCTGGGTGAAGGCAATGCCTCCCAGCGTCATTTTGAATAAAGAACACTTTTGCCTCTGTTAGGAAGCCCTATGCAGGAACTGTGTCAACCACAGCAAACTATGGCAAGTTCTTAAAGAAATGGGAGTGCCTGATCATCTCATCTGTCTCCTGAGTAATCTCTATGTGGGACAAGAAGCTACAGTTAGAACTGGATATGGAACAACTGATTGGTTCAAAATTGGGAAAGGGGCACAGCAAGGCTGTATATTGTCTCCCTGCTTATTTAACTGATATGCAGAATTCATCATGTGAAAGGCTAGACTGGATGAATCCCAAGCCAGAATTAAGATTGCCGGAAGAAATATCAACAACCTCAGATATGCAGATGACACAACCTTGTTGGCAGAAAGTGAGGAGGAATTAAAGAACCTTTTAATGAGGGTGAAAGAGGAGAGCACAAAATATGGTCTGAAGCTCAACATCAAAAAAACTAAGATCACGGCCACTGGTCCCATCACTTCCTGGCAAATAGAAGGGGAAGAAATGGAGGCAGTGAGAGATTTTACTTTCTTGGGTTCCATGATCACTGCAGATGGTGACAGCAGTCACGAAATTAAAAGACGCCTGCTTCTTGGGAGAAACGTAATGACAAACCTAGACAGCATCTTAAAAAGCAGAGACATCACCTTGCCGACAAAGGTCCGTATAGTGAAAGCTATGGTTTTCCCAGCAGTGATGTATGGAAGTGAGAGCTGGACCAAGAGAAGGCTGATCGCCGAAGAATGGATGCTTTTGAATTATGGTGCTGGAGGAGACTCTTGAGAGTCCCATGGACTGCAAGAAGATCAAACCTATCCATTCTGAAGGAAATCAGCCCTGAGTGCTCACTGGAAGGACAGATCGTGAAGCTGAGGCTCCAATACTTTGGCAACCTCATGAGAAGAGAAGACTCCCTGGAAAAGACAGTGATGCTGGGAAAGATTGAGGGCACAAGGAGAAGGGGACGACAGAGGACGAGGTGTTTGGATAGTGTTCTCGAAGCTACCAACATGAGTTTGACCAAACTGCGGGAGGCAGTGGAAGACAGGAGTGCCTGGCGTGCTCTGGTCCATGGGGTCACGAAGAGTCAGACACGACTAAACGACTAAACAACAACAACATGCAGGAAGTTGCTGGTTGTGATGTGACAGCTTTGTGTTTCTCTTCAATTAGCCAAATATTTGCTAGCCAAGGCTTTAGCAAATTTGCAAATATAAGAATAAGGCAGGAGGAGGGAATGGCCTTCTCCCTCACCAGAAGTTACTGTCATAAGCAGCTGACTTCTTCCTCCAACATGGAACTCAATTTCTTCTGCTTGGGGGTTCTATCTTCTCTAGAATTGAATTGCCCATTTCCCAGGAACTGTGGTGGCAATAGTAGCAAAAGGACAACATATCTAGGAGGCATGGAAGCTACATCAAACTCAATTAGACCACTGATCCAGCTAACACAGCATTGTCTCCACTGACTGACAGGGGCTTACCAAAGTTTCTGGCAGGAAATATTCTCTGTCTTACCTGGGGATGCCAGGAATTGAAACTGGGATTTACTGCATGCAGAGCAGGTGCACTTGATATTGTCAGGTGGTCTCCCATTCAAGTACTAAGCAGGCCTGACCCTGCTAAGCTTCTGAGATCAGATGAGATCAGATGTATTCAGGATGGTATGGCTACAGGCTAATAGGGGTGAGTAAAAGCCAATGAGCAAAAATATGCATAGTGCATCAAAAAGAAAAATAAATATACTTGCTACTTACCTTTGCTTCTCTGCTACTTTCATGCCCTCTAGCCACTGAATGGTCATTTCAACCTACACAGCAACATACATCTTCTCATCATTCATCTATCTAGCTCAGAATTGTCTACACTGGCTGGATGTGGCTATCTAGAACTTCAGAAAGGGGGCATTCCCATTCCTACCTGGAAACACCAGGGATCGACCGTGGAACCTTCTGCATGCAAAGCCCTGCCATAGAGCTAAAGGTGAAAAGGCCCATAAGCTTATACTAGTCTTTGCCAAGATGGCGCCGTCCAGATGTTTTGGACTAGAACTCCTGATGGAAGTTGTAGTCTAAAATATCTGGAGGGCACCAGCTTGGCAAAGGGTGGCTGAAAACATAGGTTAGAATTTTGAAAAATGATTATCCATCATTGAAAAAGACTGTTAAGTCCAGCACATTCTGGCAGGACTAAGAAGCATTGTGAGGACCCAAGTGTCTTACCATATCAAAACAGTAAGTACAACAATTGGTCACACACAAGTGAATAGATGAAAATCGTTAACCATAAACAACTGAACATGAATGAAACGCTTGTTTCAAACAGGAGGAATGTAAAATAAGAAAGTTGAAGATGTTTTCATCATGTTTCCTCTTGCAGCTCCCAACATAGACCCCAGACGTTTTGAACTGTGTTAATATAAAATATTTTACTGCTGTTGATTAAAGCAAAAAAAGAAAAAACAAAGCAGCAACATCAGGACTGTTAAGTCTAAACAGAAATCTAGATTTGGCATAATATGGACTGTCACAGGGAATTAATTTGAGCTATGGGCTTTTTTGCAATGATGTTCTAGTTGATTGTTTTATTATTCATGGGTTTTTAAAGCATTTCCTTAAATTGCATATCTTTATAAATTTGAATCCTTTCAAATCCCCATCACCTATCAAATGCTTCCCCCTCTTTAATGAGACATGCTGTATGATGAAACCTGCAATTCCTTTTTCAAAGGATTTTGTTTGTGCTTTTCATGTGCACCAGGGATTTGTGAGTTTATAATTTCTGCCATGCCCAGGTGGGACCAATTTCAGCAATCAGATGTTCAAGCCCAGCATTTCTGATTGTTGCAGTCCAGAAATGTAATGTGCTTCCATTTCTACTAGGACCCTGCAGGCTAAAACAGCTTATAGGGGCTCGATGAGCAGGCGCCATGAAGTCTGTACAATTTGTCTCCTGTAGTAAGGATGAGGTTGTCTCAGGGAAAGACAACTGTCTTGGGCTATAGAAGCAACCTGGGAGCATGGGAAACTGTTAGTTGAACATTACTTGGCCTCCTTGTAGAGTAACCATGTCAAATATTTCTCATTCTCGTCTTCTCTTTCCCATCCACACCTCTCTGCTGAAATTCCTTCAGTATGATTCACTGCAGATAATTTACAGAGCTTGCAATTGTCCCTACCCTTAGGGACAGGAACAGTTATTTCCTACTGTAAAAATGTTATGGGCTGGTTTGGATGTTACAGCCAGAAAGTAGCTTCATGTGCTAGCCATAATGCTGGAAAGCTGTTTACCATGTGGAAGGTCCTGATCATATGCAGACTCCAAACCACTGTGGTCTACAGACTCTCTACATGATCAGGGGCATCATCGTGATTTGTATTTTTCATATACACTAGCAGCCAAAATTGTGGAAAACTTTTGGAAAAAGTGTATTTCTGAGGTTTGATGGCTTATAACACCACTTTTTTGGAGTAATACCATAAAATTATATATCAATGGAAAGCTAATTTAACGAAGAATGTAATGCAACAAAATTCAGTTACCTGTATTCTATCAAAAGTTATAGCCAAATAAGCAGAAAAAGGAAGGACAACTTGCTTAGGTAGATATGCAGTTGTTTTCCTTCATTTGTATGTAGCCAATGAACATGAGTGTTTAGAGAGCCAATCAGGTGTTATGAGCCTGATTTTCAAACACTTTTTTCAAAAGGTTCCCACAGTTTTGGCCACTACCCAGTGCTGGATTTACATATAAGCTAAACAAGCTATAGCTAAGGACCCTACTCTCTGGATGTACTTTGATAAAATACATATTTTGTTATGTGCAAATGGCTTTAGATACCTATTAGGTCCATAAATTACCATATAGCATATATTCAACACAAAAAACAGCAACAATTTGTTGTTGACAAAGGACAGCTGGACATATATAGGGCCGCATTACCTTCAGTAGCTTAGGGCCTCATCAAACCTAAATCCGGCCCTGCCACTAGCATATACTGTATTTTTCGCCCTATAGGACGCACCGTCACATAAGGCGCACCTAGTTTTTTGGGGTGGAAATAAAGGGAAAAAATATTATTCCCCCCCCCCCAGGCACGGGGCTGGGGCGGGGGAAGCCCGAGCTTCCCCCGACCCCAGCCCCCAGAACAGGCAACTCTCTGCAAGCCGCGGGAGCCCAGCACCGGGCTCCCGTGCTTTGCAGAGAGTTGCATGAAGCCTGGGCGCGCTGAGCTCAGCGCGCCCAGGCTTCAGCATGCAGGCAACTCTCCGCACCGACCCCTCTCGCTCTCCAGGCTCCAGCGAAAGCCTGCATTCGCCCCATAAGACGCACACACATTTCCCCTTCATTTTTGGAGGGGAAAAAGTGCGTCCTATAGGGCAAAAAATACGGTAATCCACTACCTAGAACACAACCAGTCAGAAGTGGTTCTGGGGGGGCAGCCTTCATGTATCAGTTGTAATGTTCGAATTGGTCTGAACACTATCATTGACACCTATCCTCACAGCCTTGGCAACAATTGATAAATGAGTTCCATCTCTACAGTCTTAGAATAGGAGGTGAATTTTAATGGCTTTTATTAAGCATAGAAGTATTTGTCAACACAAGCAGCTTCAATCTCTATTGAAAATTTCAAGGCAAAATCTCACCTGTCAAAGAGCCTTGAGCATGCAGTATGTCAAAAATTTCAAGATCTCCCAATAAATATTAGTTTGCATCCTTTTGGCGCCTCTCTCCTTTCCTTTTGTGGTAGATTTTTCTCACATTGGAAGTAGCCTGGAGATGTGTGAACTTTGCAGTAAAACCCAGACTTGATTATTAAAGTGCATTAAGTGTGTGGCTGTTTTTGAAGTCTTGAGGAACTCAAGCTGGATCAGAACACAGCAACCAAACTGTTGTCTGAGGCTCAGTGGTATGGGCATATTACATGAATACTTACAAATTTGGCTTGACTTCGAAAATACTAAATAGCCTTAGTCCTAGGTACCCAAAGGACCTGGTGCTTCCAGGTGAACCTGCCTGGCACCTGAGAACACCACTGGAGGCCCTACTTTGGATGCCCTCACCTGCAGAAGACAGGTAGGTGGCTACTGGTGAAAGGACCTTCTCTGTAGTTGTCCTGGGTAATGTCTGAAAGCACAGGAGGCCGCCAGCTTGATGAAGCTAAGCAGATCTGGTGTCTGGATGGGAGACCACCTGGGAACCAAATATATCCCACCTTTGATTCCATGATGGAAGAAAGTGGGATTTAAATGTAGTAAGTAAAATTAAAATAAAATAAAATGTGCCCCCCATGTAACACCATATGAAGAGAGATCTATTTTTTTTTAAAAAAAAGCTTAGAATTGTTTTTTGTTTATTATAATCAAATGACATATAATTTTTGGTTAAATAGATAAATAAATCTGCCTGGCATTTTCTTGACTTCATTTTAGGTGCTAGGCAAAGTCCTTGACTTCTGGAATCATGCAGTGGCTGCTTTTATTTTCATTATTTCATTTTCTGTGAAACAGCATTTTTTATACATATCATCTGCTTTTATTTATTTTAAAAATGTTTCTGATATTTCTATATGTTGTTGTTAAGCTAGCTTGGTTGCTCTTTTTGTTGGAAAGGCAGCATGCAATGTTAAAATCAATCAATCAATCTCAACAGTAGAAGGCACACTCCCTGGGACAGGTTATGTATTCCAATCATGACAAAATGTGAATCCATCGTTCACAAACCACAATCATAAAGATGCATAGACTGAAACATGAAATATTATATCATCATCATCATCATCATCATCATCATCATTGATTGTTCCAAGTACACTGTGGAATAATGTGACCTACCACATAGCAGCATTGGTTAGTCAGTGATGCACAGTACAATTTTACAGATGCAAAACTGAGGTGAACCACCAAAATTAGGAGATGAAAGATATTGCAGATAGCGTGACAATGCAGAACCTATTACCAAACCCTATCCATAATCCATACAATGGTGCAATAAATGATTTACAGCTGATATGCCTCTTGCTGCTTTAAAAGAGATGTATGTAAACAAAACTTGGCCAAAAATCTTTTCCATCAGTCTTTTTATGTGAATAGTGCAGGTATTTATGTAAAGGTAGTTTCCTGTTGGCAACATTTCATGTTTCTTTAGTAAACATGGCAATGCTTATCTATTGTTCCTCTGTAGTTGAACGAGTTCATTCCAAAGAATGATATGTAGATACAGCAGTCCTGTTGTGTCTTCTTAATATACCTTGAAGGGCTGGTTCATATAGCTGCCTTTTTTTTGATGCAAGGCAAATTACAGATTCATTCATTCATTTAATTTCTGTTCCACCCTTCATCCGAGGATATCCTAGAGTAGATCACAACAATGCAAATAACAATATTGCAATTGATGCTGTTAAAGTATATCATTAACACATCTATAGGTCCTATCTCTTCCAAATATTAATTTTTAAAAGTTCATCCAGTGGACTTGTGGAAAGGAAATGTCTTCAGTTGGCACTGAAAGATGGTCAGAGGAAGCATGACCTGGACCTCTGGGAGAACAGTAATCCACACCTGAGGTGAAATTGCTGTGATGGCCCTCTGGTGGGTGATAAATCTTCTTCCCTTGGTTAATGCTGGCACTTTGAGAAGGGACTCAAAGCACAAGCAGACCTCAAGCCTGGGCAGA